AACAGAAAAAAAAAAAAAAAAATCCATCACCGTCGTTGACTGCGCCACAACAATAACAAAGAACGATCACCACCACACAGATCACCATCACCACCATACGATCGCCACCACAGATCCACTACCACCGCCCAAAACATACCGCCATAGATCCACCACCACCACTACAACCACACATCCGAGACATTTTCCAAAACCAGACCCATCTTCCCAACAACAGCCACAATATCTTCTCTAGAGAAAAATCAACCCACCAAATTAGGAAATTGAACTATATATGCAGACTGTCATACTGTATAGGGAAAAAATAGCAGTACCTTTTCCTGAGAGCCCGGGGGGAGAGGAATTTATTTGAGCTAATCCGAAAGCACATATGGTCATGGCGACCGGAGAGGCCTTGTTAGTTGCGGCACTGAGTCAACACGGTCTTGGAGTCCCTGATGCAAAAGAAACTTCTTCATTCAGATTGATAATCAGTATCAACATCCTTGATAATAGATATTTGTAATTGTAAACAGAACTAAAAAGGAGAAAATGATCTGCATCATCACTTAAATGACGGATCTGCACTGTGCGAAGCCCGGCGACATCGTTGGTAGAGATGGAGAGCAGGAGGTGAAGATGGGATGCCACTGCAGTTGGGCATAGTGCGCGAGTGCTGCTCCACTGCGGTACGCCGGCAGGGAGAGAGGAGGAAGGGGAGGATGTGACGAGCGGCGGGCGATGGTGGTGTGAGGAGGTGGCGGGCGATGGTGAGAGGTGAAAAAGTGGAGAGTGTAGAGAAAAGGATTAGTTTAGGGTGGATAGATTTAAGGTTTTAATTTATTAAAATGATGAAAACCTGAAAAATGAAAAAATAAAGTGAAAACCTAAACTTTTAAAACCTCAAACTAATGACCGGGTTTCACGTAATTTCCTCAAGTCCCAAAACATTTAAATTAATGGACCATACTACGTGTTTAAATTAATGGGTACACACAGCATGGCCCTTTTTGAATACAAAGTCCCAAAACCTTTAAATTAAGGACCATGCGTACACATAGGAGTTGATATTAAGTGAGGTAGGTGGGGTCCATGCTACAGTAGCTTGGGCCCCACACCACTAACATTATTATGTCAACTTCCATACAAAAACGAAAGGTTTGAAACTCACGTCAATTTTTTGACAGGTTGAGACCCGGTGCAATTTATCCTATATATTATATACAATTTAAATTTACTTAATATTAATCAGATATGCACTTCAGACACATTTGATTTCGAGGATTAGATAGGAGAAAGTATTAAAATAAATTAAAAAAAAGGATCATTATGCAATTCACTATTTTTTATAGCCGAACTTTACACCTCAAACCCTATTTGGTTTAGCTAAAATATTTGATAAAAATAGAAGTCAAAAGAAACAATTAATTTTAATCGCACATTTCATTAGAATCACAACTTTTATGAGCTTTACCTCTTATTTCATCAATTTTTATATAAATATATTAGTAATACAATTTTCAGTTAAACCTAACATTGGCTAAATTAGCAGGGCTCCGTGCCACATTCCGAGTTAAGTAAATTTATTTCCCGAAAATTGCATCCGTCTCTTGGTTGATTAACACATGGAATATAATTAGGTGTCGCATTCATCTGTAGTGAATTAATGCGTAGGCCATGCAAAACTTGATATTTCCAAGTTGTGGAAATGTAACAGTAATTTCTTGACCAAGACCTGTAGTGATTGGGAAGTTTCACTAATTAATTATTCAATATTTAATTTTTGTGAAGTAATTTTACTTGGTCCAACCGGTGTTAGGATTCATTTGGTCTACTTCAATTTTCGCAACTATTTCTTGTAGACGAACTTTTGAGGAAGTTACATTAGATCAGTTTTTTCAAAAAACTATTTTAATCGGACAAATCACTTATAGAAAATTATTCAAATATGTTCAAAATTATTTAATGAGTAATGCTATTTATCATTATAATGATAAAATATCGGTCATATGACAATTTATGTGGAATAATGTGATATAATAATTCAATTTTCATGAGAGAGAAGGGGATTGAACTGTCATATTCATTATCCACCTAAGTTACCATATCATCGATATTCCATCATTAGAATGATAAATAATATTATTCTTATTTAATACGTTTTGAAAATGTTATAGAGATCCGATGACCGAGACTTCTACTAATTTTGACTTGCTCAAACTGTATCATTAACTATTAAGTCCTCGTTTGTTTGTCATTATTTTCAAAACACATTTTTCCCTACCTTATTTTTAACCACATATTTTTCAATAAAATAATATTATACACAAATCCAAATTTTTTTCTTATTTNAATTTCTTGACCAAGACTTCTAGTGGTTGGGAAGTTTTACCCCCTGTTTGTCTACCATTAATCCAAAAAATTGTTTGTTACAGTAAGATTCTCCATCATACATTCACCCAATAAAATATTCTACACACAAATCAATAAAGTTACTTTAATTTTCAACCACACATTCTCCAAAAAATACTATTCATTACACTAATTTTCTCCCAATAATGGAAGACAAACAATCTCTTAATATTTAGTACACGTCTGGGCGGCTATTACAATTTGGACCGTTAGTGAGCAAAAAATGGACCATTATACAAATTTTAATTGAAAAAATTCTGACAGCTTTGCAGTACCAACTCAGGCCATTTACACTAAAATGGTCCTTTTTTTTTTTTTGTCATTTTTCTACAAAGCGTGCAAAGGCACTCCCAGACACACGATAAATTTTTTGTGAAGTAATTTTACGTAGTCGAACCAGTGTTAAGGTTCGTTTGGTAGAACTTCAATTTTCGCAACTATTTCTTGTAGAAGGAATTTGAAGAAGTTACATTAGATCGGCTTTTTCAAAAAGCTATTTTAGTCTGACAAATCACTTATAGAAAATTATCCAAATATGTTCAAAATTATTTAATGAGTAATGTTATTTATCATTATAATGATGAAATATCGGTCATGTGATAATTTAGGTGGAATAATGTGATATAACAGTTCAATTTTCACGAGAGAAGGGAGGGGGGATTGAACTGTCATATTCTATTATTAGTATATATTATGAGCTTGTTTGGGAGGGATTAAAATCAGATTAAAATTGAAAAATTAGTCGTTGGAGTTGACTTTTATTAGACAAGTGAGACCCAATAAAGACTATATTTTCAATTTTAATTGGATTTTAATTCCTCCCAAACAAGCTCTATATACAATTTAAATTTGCTTAAACCAGTTGGTCTCTTATACAATATAGCTAGTATCCCTCCATTCTAAACATGGGCCTCTTAAAATCAATCTCCATTTCCATTTTCGTTTTTTCTCTTGCTTCCCTTTTCTTCCACTACACTCGTGCAGCTACATTTGTAATCCGTAACAATTGTCCCTTCACAGTCTGGGCTGCTGCTGTACCTGGAGGCGGCATGCAGCTCAACAATGGCCAAACTTGGACCATCAACCCTGGTGCGGGCACTAAAGGGGCCCGAATTTGGGCTCGAACAGGTTGCAACTTCGACGGCTCCGGCTCCGGCCGCGGTCATTGTCAAACAGGAGATTGCAATGGGCTACTTCGGTGTCAAGCATATGGTGTACCACCTAACACTCTAGCTGAATACGCCCTCAACCAATTCAATAACTTGGACTTCTTCGATATATCCCTTGTTGATGGGTTTAACGTGCCAATGGATTTTAGTCCCACCGGTGGTTGCGCCCGTGGAATTCGTTGCACTGCCGACATTAATGGCCAATGTCCGAAGGAGTTGAAGGCACCTGGCGGCTGTAACAACCCATGCACTGTATTCAAGACAGACCAATACTGTTGCAACTCTGGCAACTGTGGCCCCACAAACTATTCTAAGTTTTTCAAGGTTAGGTGTCCCGATGCATATAGTTACCCTAAAGATGATCAAACTAGCACATTTACTTGTCCCGGGGGAACTAATTATCGAGTTGTCTTTTGCCCTTGAAGCAAAAACATTTTCACTGTAATAAAATTACTATAAGATGAATAAGTGAAAATAACATTTGAATTCTTCTATGGGAGAACTCAACTTGGCTGCCATCAAGTGCAAATGCTGGATGATTTTTACATATGTATCACAATATATCTCTATTATGAACTATAGTATCTCTCTTTTCAATATGAAGTATAACCTCTTTCGTGCTTGAAAAAGGAATTATAATTTAGTTATTGTCTAATATCTGATGGTGAATTGGAAAAGATTGTGCACTCGAAACAGTCCTTAATTTCTTTTATCAAAATGATAAATATAAAAAAATAAATATCATAAATTTAGAATAAAAATCTTTCTGAGATCAATCGAGCATGTTTGGCTAAATTTTAAAGTATGTAAAATTTAGTTTCAAACTAATTTATATTTCTAAACATAATATGCGTTGCTATTTTAATATTTACAAGTAAAAATTTAATATTATGAGGGTGAAGTATATAAATAACTTATAACTTTTTTTGTTACAAGATTACTTATTTACAACTATAACTTACAAAATCATTATTTATTTCAAGCTTTATGTATAAGTGTTTTGTAACTAAATGAATACAAAAAATCATTCTGTTCAACCATTTTATATTTATAATGCTAGCTGGTTCAAACTTTTGTAACCAAAGAAAATCTTTGATATGAATATTTCTAATGAATTACAATCAATTCTTGAACTATATTAGTACGTTTTATAGGCATTTTGAATTCATCAGAGTTCATTAATTCCTTAAGAAAAATGAAAATGTTAGGCTAGCTTTAATCATGGGCTTAATAGAATAGAATTTTGCTTTTCACTTGAAAATATGAAATATTCTTCTTGACTAGTAAATTAATTTCTACTTCAGTAATGCCACATCACATTGGACAAATATTTATAGGAGGGTATTATTTAGATTTGTTTATTTCGATCCAAGAGCCCTGTTGGAATTTATGAATTAAATTATTAAAGAGTGGAACTTACCGGATTTGATATAAACAAACCGGTTTTAACACTCCTCACCGTTTAATACAACTCACCGAATATACACTCAACTTACCGAATATACACTTGGCTTACCATATAGCAAAGCACTTATCGGATTTACCAAAGGAAATTCTATTTTAGTGCAAAAGAGAGTGCTTACCGGATTTACACTGAAACTACCGTATTTGCACTCTTCTCACCATATATGCTTAAAAGCTCATCGAGATTGCTACTGTCGTGTTCTGTTTTCTGGATAAGTAAAAATATTCTGTTTTGATGGGAATTTAAGAAAAAAGATTGAAACACACTTTCATTCCAATACACGTTGAGTTTATATAGATTACAAGGACGTTTTTTCCACCTCTTAATCTAACAAATCGTTTATGAAAAAGATCTAACTAAGATAACTTTTACAAAGATGAAGTTATCAAATTGAACACTAAAACTTAAGACTTAAGATACAAAATATCTAGCCTACTAAAACAAAAATCTGAAAGTAAGAATGTCAACTATATTCAATAGAATTACTTTAATCT